TTCGTCGAGGATAAGGACGCTGACTTGTACATCTTAACCCCCGCAAGTCATTGTATAGGCCACATCGCATTCAGTAAGCCACTACGATTCTGAATGGAAGTAGAATGCGTGCCGCATCCCACAAAGGGATTGATCAACGGCGAAGACTTTACAGTTTTCTTATTGGGATTTTGAGCGTATTGGTCTTAGAACTTTATCCGATGCTAAATTGCAACTTCAGAGCACTCCTCTTCTTTTTCTGCCCGGACATCCTGTTTCATTCCGCATGAGCACATGGCTGCCCCTCGCCCAACCCTTCCTCTTCCGTGGAAAGAAACGGTCACGTGGCCATGTTTCTGATCTGTTATGTTTCACCCCTGTATTTCCAGCCCTCTGGGAACGTCCTAGTTTCGCAGACTCCCCATTTAGAACGCAGATGCTTTGGCACCATTCTAATGTCGTTCGTATTCTATGAGCTGCTCGTCTCTTAGCAATTTCTCCGAATCCCTCAGCAGCAAAGCTCGGAAGATGACTGTTATTTGTCATGGTGTCTGATTATTTTATTAAAAATGTGTTCATGAGCGTTATTCAAGGTGTCGACCTCGAAGACGTTCACTACATTGTGCCACGTACCGAAGATAACCTCATTTTTGGCAAGAAGGACAAGAGCGGATTCTTCGCAGCGAAGACCAAGTCGGCGGTGCTGATCGCCGTTTATGAGGGCGAGAACCAAGTGTCTGCGCAAGTGCGTGCATCAGTTGAGAAGCTAGCCAAGTATCTCGAGGAGATTGGCTATTAGGCTGCTCCTTAATGGTGAGTACTTATCCACGCTATTATTTTCTTGCATTTTGAATGGATATTACTTCCCTACTCGAAAATAAGCAGTGCAAGAAAATTACTTCTGTAGACCATCTGCCAGTCAAGTGCTAGCATTGCAGCTCAGGTGTTCTGCGAAGCGGTTAACGAATAAGTAACTGAAGCTGTTTATTGGTGCCTTTTCGGGAGCATCTCTGTGCCCCTCAATATCCCTTGTAAGAGTTCAGGCCAACGTCTTCTTCAGAAAGTTAACCTATTGGTAGATTTGGCTGAAGCATTGTCCCGGAGGTAGTACCACCCCTCCAAACCATATTCGCCAGAGCGAACCGGCCTGACGGCGGCACTACAGTCCAGTTTTGATTTCTGCCATCGTAAAGGGGTATTACGCATTTTTGCGGTGTTCAGGGGGTCAAACTGCATTGCAGGATAAATTTCAAGCGAAACGTGTCCGTGGGGTAAAATTCCAGGGGCATTCGGCGATGGGGGAGGGGGCCATTTTGTGCGTTTGCTACTTCCCGTCGACGTGTCGAGCCGTCTAGGGAGCTAGTCATGAGCTTGTAAGAGCTGAAGGTTTTGCCCGACTAGCTTTCTCACGAGAGTTCACAGGTTTCGCCAGGGAGGCACTTGTAAACCGGATCTAGTGAAGCAGTGGAAGTGCAGAATGCCCCTGCAGAATGCCCCCTTTGCCGAACCCACTCTTCGATATTCTAACCTGGTTCGAATATGGAAGAGCAGGTTCGGCGAAGTGGGGCATTTGAAGTGTGAGGCTGTAAAGGGAAGGTAGTGCCAGAGCCCCTCCCTTCAGAAAGTTGTCCCTTCGAGGGGTGCTTGTATCCGAACTCCCTGGGTATCCGGAACTCAAAGGGTATTCGTAGTGTTCAGCCACAGTTCGTAGCTCAGGCGAAATGCGACCACTCGATTTGTGCTTGCTGAGCCACAGTGATTTCCCACTAGGCGTAGTCTAAGCGGTAATGTTAGGTGTGGAGGGTGTGCCTCATGAAATGATTGTTGTTTCCGTTAGCATCCTTTCCTTCTGGGAATGATTCGGTCAACAGCTTCCTTCTTCTCCTTAACATTAATCCCGACAATAGCTCCGAAAGGTTAAATTGTGGTGAAGTATTCGGCGTCGCCAAACGT